TGTTGTTGAAGTGTTTGGTTTTGGCGATAAAGTCAATCTCATGTCCTGTGGTTTTGAGGTGTTGGATCAGGGAAGAGGTCAGTTCTTCTTTTTTGATTGAGTTTTTGTGTTCTTCAAGGCGTGCACTTATTATTCTGTTAGTTTGTCCGATGTATGTGGGTGGGGCAGGGTTACCAAACTATGGTTAAGACACATCGATCCAAAAAGTTTGGTAACCCCTGGATTAGAGAATGGATAAACTTAAAAAATAAAAGAATTCTATTTCTGGAAGGGCACGATCTACAGGTGGGGTGACATGCCTTCATGTGGAGTCCCAGAAGTAAGGCCCATATATATTTCCACAGACATATCCTATGGGACTCGCTCATACGAATATTGGAAGAAATTAAAAATAAACATTACATAAAAATGTATGTTTGGGATGGGTATCCACTGTGGAGGCAATAATACACCCCAATACATTAGAGCTAGGTAGAATGGCCAGATATTATGAAATTTTGTACCCCAAGGAGCATTAAGGACCAACCAGGAATTAAGAGATCTGGGACTAAATATAGACTGGTGGCCATACCTCCAATTAAAATCAAGATATAAAAAAGACCAAGAGAAATTAGGAATTGAGGTGGAACCAAACCAACTAGACAAATTAATGGTAAGTACAGAGGGAAAATTGATATCAAGGTTATAATTATTTATTAGAATATGATTTGGCAGAAGAAATAGTGAAAGGACCAATGATAGCGTGGGCCAGGAATTTGGGATATAACGTAGAGCTGGAGGACTGGGAAAAGATCTAAAAAAAGAACTATACAATAACAAAATCAGCAGCATATAAAGAAAACCTATATAAAATGGTGGTATCTAGCCCCCTTGAGATACCAGTGGTATCTAAGCCCCTTGAGATACTGGTGGTATCTAGCCCCCTCAAGATTGGCTAAAATGTATCCTAATTTAAGCCCAAATTGTTGGAAATGTAAGCAATCACCAGGTACCTTCTTTCATGTATGGTGGCTATGTCTGAAAATTAAGAAATATTGGTCCAAATATAAAAATGGTTAAAGGAAATTATGAAAGTTCAAATAGAATTTAAAGCAGAAATATTTCTCCTGAGAATTATCAAAGGGAATTATACAAAAGAGATAAAATATCCAATCCTGCATATAATTACAGTAGCAAGATTAGCACTCACACAATGCTGGAAAGGAGATTCTATGCCAAACAGATGGCTTAATAATCCAAAAGATTTTCGATTGCACGGAAATGGACAAACTTACATTGGAATTAAAAGAGAAGGAAGACTCAGATTATTATAGAGTTTGGAAAAATTGGTATCATTGGGTAAATAATAGAAACAAGCAATCAAATAAATAAGAAATGTATAGTTTAGAAAGATAGAGGCATATATATAAAAACAATTAGGAGTATAAAATAAGTGCTGGATTAAGAATTAAAATGTAAGTACTGTCAAAATGGATTGTAATATATACAACATTTTCATTTTAAATATCTGTATTGTATTTTCTGTTTTAATGTTTTAAATTTTCAATAAAGGTTATTTTTAATTTTAAAAAAAGTAACAGATAAAAGGCCCTCATTGATTTGACTCAAGAGAATCACTCCCTGAGAAAAAGATTAAGGCTAACTATGCATTCAGCATAGAACTATCCATCAAATATTTGTGTTACAAGGCTCTTGGGAAAGATCTTCAACTTGCTGAATTATTTAAATGTCACAATGACTAGTGGGCTCCATTCATAAAATGTATTTAGTCATATAAATAACTTTTGCCAAATTCCAGCTGACTGGGATATTTCTATTGTGGTCCCACATTTTGTATAACTGAACTTTCCAATTATGGACTGATTAATGTAATTGACATCATGTGCCAAATATATTTTATACACTATAATTAGTTAACTGAAAAAGCTTGCTTCTTGAAGACCAAACTGGTTTTAAGTTGGGTCATTCTACTGTTGATAACTGCTTCATTTTATGTTATCTAATAGAAAAATATACAGGTAAAGGAAGCCAACTCTTTACAACTTTTATAGACCTCACTGCAGCATTTGATTCAACATAGAGGGATCTTCTTTAGAAGAAATTAGAATTTGAGCATGGACGTGACTCCTCTCTTTAATCAAGGCATTATACTCAAATTCATGCCTAAGGGTATGCACAGAACAGAGTTTCCTAACAGGAAAAAATAGTTCCAATGGAGGAGTTAGACAAGGGTGTATACTGACTCCTTTTTGTGGAATCTGTATAAATGACATCACCAAATCCATTCACTCTACTGATACACACATATGCCTAAAGTTAAAAATAAACATGTGAACATTCTGCTTTATGCCAATGTCATAGGGATCAGGAGAATGCTGTGAAGGTATAGCACATACTGCACATTCAACTACCTGAACTACTGTAAGTCCAAAATGAAGCTAGTTGCTTTGGGAAAGAGGCAGACAATGTACAACTGGAGCCTGGATAGGGAACGCATAGATCAAGTTGTTCTATACTTGTTTTAACAGAAACAGGTTCCTGGCTCCCACATTTTAAGATAAGTTCTTTAAGGGCTACAGCCTGCCAACAACATAAGGTAACTCACTAAACATAGCAACCCATGTTGTCTAATTCTGATTATAAAGATTTATAGAGTTACAAAAAAGTTCCAGTGATCATATATGATGCAGAACTGTGGGAACATACAAATGCTCCCTTATTGGAACAGATAGATTCCACTTTTTAAAAAATGTATCCTGGGGTGGATAAATCTACTTTATCTCTAGCTTTAAGAGCAGAATATACCTGCTACTAAAGCTTTGTAGTAATTAAAATAATCAATTACTAGTTGAAGATGTTATCTATGAACCCTATCCAAGTTATGTCTTGAGGAGTAGCTGCACAAGAAGCAACCTCAATTTGGGCCTCCCAACATTCAAATGTCATCTCACAATGTTCTCCATCCAATTCCCAGCCAATCAGATCTAAAGGCGAAGAAGCTTTGTAACAAGGGGTTATTAATGCGGCTGCTCAGAATGATATTGTACAACTTAAATATGTTCAGTCTTTGAAATGACTGATTCAACACAAACCAGCTTCTCAGTTACAGAAATATTGAACATTCCTCAACATTTCACAACAGCTTTTCCTAAAACTTGTTTCAAACAACCAGACTCCATAGTAAGACCTGGGAGGCCTCATGGAGTTCCACTTGGAAGAAAAACTGTGCATTTGTGAGCAGCAGCCATTGAGTATTCTTGTTGACTCCAAAGTATACCCTGCAGAACGAAAAATATTAGGGTACCCGGGGGAAACTTTTATGTTTGGAGGAAACAAATCTGCACATCACTAATAAAACTACAGTCTATATTTCAAAAGCCATTTCAAAGAGGGTAGAATATTTAGATTGGGGTTAACTGTAATGATGATGACTTACTATCAACATGTCCTATTGTTTTCTTTGTATCTGTTTCTATAGGTTTTATATATTTGATATGGAAAACTTTAAGTAAAGCTTTCTGTAAGGAAACTGTGGTTGTAAGATGACTACACTAACAAAGGACATCATTCCTTTCCCATTCTAAATCCCCCTGACTTTATACTTATTAAATCACATTATTCCTGCTATTAAAAGACATTAACAAAAATTATTATCAAAAATAATATTCAGCTTTTACACCACACAGATCCAGGTTAAGCGATATATTTATGTCAGACTGAATCTGATCTTAAGGGACAAAATAGCCACCCATTAGAATTGGATAAATTCCAGGAAAGAGGGCACAATAGAGATTTGACACTGTTGATCAGAAGTGGCATAAAGCCAAACAAAAGAAAATATGTCTGTATATCATTAACTATTAGGATTCACAGACAACTTATGTGGCGGATAGCTAAAATGTCTTTAAAAGGTGAGCAGATAAATTCATGGAAGATTGATTTATTGACAGAAATCAGTTATCACAATAAATCAGTCTTCAAAGTTCAGAAGTAAGATGTTGTAGAAAACTAGTTATAGGAAGCAGGGAAAACAGGGCAAATATGCATTAGTTACTGCTTTCCTAGTTTTTTTTTCTAATATAATGAGGCTATTCATTCAAACTGGAAAGATGTCAAATCCAACATGAGGATCTTACTGCAGTATAGTAATTACATTTCTAAACCACGTTTTTAAATTTAACTTTTGGGAAGGTTTTCCTAAAAGGATTTATATATCCAGTTTGGTAATGTATACAGAATATAATCAGTCCTTAGATCCATTCATAAGATCTTCAGAACTCCTCCAGCTACCTAAATTAGACAACAAAAAGGTTATTTTCAGTAGCATAAATTTTTTGAATGAAAGGCTTAAGTTCTAAAGTGGACATGCTCAATTCTATATGATTAACTTTCTTCTCTATTCCCTGAACACGTTGGGCCAAGTCCAAGGGAAAAAAATCTCTTTTTGTTGTTTTTTTGAAGAAAGAAGTAAATCTGATATAGATTCTTGAGTTGAGGAAGCTCATTATGGATCAGACAAATGTACATATGGCACACGGATTCAAAATATGTAATGACAGGATTAGTGGTAATTCAATAGAAAACATTCAAGGAGGACAAAGGAACAGTGTATAGGGTGTTTTTTAAATTTATGAATAAGTGCATGTTTTCTTGTTGTTTTCCTCCATATTTGGGCCCATATTCACAAGAACATATGTTCATACTGAATACAGATAATCAGAATATGCTGGTGTTAAATAAAGTTAGTAGTAGTATTGATCCCTACAGTTTTTTCCGTAGACAAGATTGATTGGTGCAGTTTATTCATTGCTTCAATACCAAAATTTTCTGAGCTGCTGTCAAGTTGGCTTATATGGCAGGAGAAAAAAAGGAGCACTGAAAGAACTAGTGTTGGTCTACTTGATGACAAATAGGAAGTGATCCTCACATGCATTATTGGATTGGCTACCCAGAAAATTAAATTATATGGTTATAATGACAGAGCAATATACTTTACTTACTTCTGAAATAGATTTGACAAAGCGAATCCCATCATTTGCACCTTTTACCTTACCCAGACAGTCACAAAAATAATCCCAGTAGTCCTTCGGATTGCCTAGTAAAGTGGATTTTTCCTTCTGATCAAACTTTGAGACAGAAAAAGGGGAAAAGGTACCTTTAAAGCAGTGATGTATAAAACGATTCTAATGTGTCAGAATTAAATGAATTAGTATAAGCTAATTTTTGGTACAGGAGTCTATACCTATTAATCATTTGAAATGAGATGTGTGATCTAATAATGCAATTAATGATCTGTAAATAAGCCACTCAGATAGCCATCAGCTACATTCTGCTGAACTTTAGAATGAGCAGTTAATTGTATTACAAAACTCAATGATAGCCATGAGAATATACCCTGCAGTTATTTTTATTTCCTGCTTACAATTAAATTTGAGATTTTTTTTTTAAATACAAAACAAATTGTATTTATTTTTATTCATTTTTCATTCTTCTTTTCTATAAATGGTATTTAAAATTCACAATACTTGATATTAATTCTGTATAATATCTTAATTTCCTGAGTCCTTACCTGCAAGAGGTACTCAAGCTTATAAGAAAACTTGTGCAAGATTATACAGTCATCTGTGATTGGTTCTCCTGCTTCTAAAAAATCTTTGTTCAGTTCTGTCACAGCATCTTTTGGAAAGAACACAATGCAATCATTTGTAGTTAATTAAGAACAAGGAATGACTGTACAATTTTCTTTTTTCCTCAGAGTTGGCAATGTCATATGCTAGTACCAAAATACCACACTGAAAAAAACACAATTATTCTATTACAATTTAATCAAAATATAAATTAATATAGTATTAGGCCTACTTTATTTATTTGTTAAATTTATTTGCTGCCTATTGCACCATACAGCTACTCCAGGAAACTTATATTAATAAAAAGAAAGAAAATCAAAGAAGTTGTAAATAGAAGTAAAATAATAGAACAATATTATCTTTCTCTCTGGTAGAGTCAGACCAATGCAACTAAAGCATAAGAATCTTAAAGGCTAAGATTATATGCATGTGACAATGCCATAACAAAATGAGAGAGACAGGTGTGGGGGAGAGAAGGAGAGAGAAAGAGAGGGAGAAGTATCAGTCAAGGGTATAATGCCTATACTATACATACTTTAGAGAAGTAGCATTAAATTATGCATATTGTATAACTGCATATTTTACCTCCTTTTATTTGGGGATAAAATACAGTTCCCTACAAGTTGAGGAATAACAGAACAAAACTACAAGGCTTCAGGTTACCATACAATATATGCACAAAATGTGGGGAACTTGCATTTATGATTGTGTAAGAGAAAGAAAAAAAATCTGCTAAAATGGCTGCAATCCAAATCTCCAGCCAATGCTAATAAAAATAGATCTGTCGTTCTTGGAGTTGTTGTGGTACATTTTCAAGAATCTTTGATCAGGGAGAATGAAAAACTATAATTTAAACATTAAATAAGGTCTGAAACAAGACTGGACTATTCCAGCAATCAAATGGTTTCCACTGTAATTCTCAAAAAAATCCCACCCTAAATAAAACCATCTACATATTATGGCCAACTTGCAATGACTACTTAAAACTGAACACAAGTTCTACAAATGTTCTTCCTACTTGACTATAAAATTAATTTCTGAGTTGCCTGGTGAGCATTTAAGTATTTCACAAGTCAAGTGTAGAATTTAAAGAAGATTCCCATTGGATAGTTGTAACAAGACATACAGGAGCCTACACTGTCTTATTCTTTGTATCATGGGAATATTCTTGTTTTCCTATAAAAGGATGTGATATTCGTACTGGAATAAATAAATAGAAAAACAAATAAACAAGTAACATTTACCCTGCATATCCCATATAATCCTCTGTAGCTGAGTTTCACCACTACTTTTTGCCATTGCTGAAATTAAAATGTGGAGATTGCTCTTTTCAATTTCTCACATAGCTAGGTAGAAAAGGGAGAGTTCATGTTGTCAGTAACCTTTAGATTAGTGGTAAGTAGTCATCTCTTCAGTATTTTTAAGTCTAGAAGAAAACAATATTTTGAGTTACAATTGTAACATTCCAATTGTTAAAAGTCATGTTTAATGTCTGGCTAATTTTTAAGTCATAATGTTTTTTCCCTCTCTCAAATTATACATTGCTCAAGGTTAAGACAAAAATCATCAAGGTTTTCATAATAGCAGTCTGCATTTTAAAATGTTTACCTGTTTAGGCTTCCAAAGTGTCCTAAAACATATTTCAAAACATGGTAACAACATAAAAGGTCTGTTTAATTTTCTTTTAAAGTTTGAAATGATTTTAAAACTGCAAGTAGATATGTATCCATTTAGCACCTTTGCGGGGGAAGAAACAAAAAAATCCCATCACTGAAAATTAATGTCATAGATTCAGTTTGGGGACCATGACAAAGTTAGGCATAGAGAGAGATACACCATAAATAAGGCATCCAAGTATCATTTTCAATGCTTTCATTGCAACCATATGAAGTGTCAGTAAATGGAATATTTCTTGACTGCTAGTTCCTTTACAGTTGACAGTGGATCGTAAAAGGCAGAAAATACTCAGTACCTAAAGATCTTCATAGTCAATTCTAATATCATATTGTGGGTTTGTTGTTCAGGTTTAGGTAACTTGGAACTGACACATAAATGGTTTGTAATGTGTTCTACATTCAGAATAGAAAGGAATAATAAAGTTGTCTGCACACTATGGCGATGAAATCCAAATGCAGACAAATGTAGTCCAACATAGTCAATTCTAAGGAACTCAAACTGTGGTAAAAATGTGTCTGAGCTAAGAAGTGTTGTGGTCCTTCAGTTGTGGTCAATTTTGGCCCAGTGACAAAAGCCAATCCTGTGACGGGGATAATTACAGACAGAAAAAAAATAAATTAAGCATAATTGGTTGTATTCAAATTTGATGGCTCACATTTCAAAAATACATTGTACAGTTGAATAAAATGTTGAAAAAGATACTCAACATTGGGAAAAGCTAGGGGAAATTCATTGTATGGGAAGCTTGCAGGTTTTTCATTCTTTTAAAGGGGTGCTAGATCTGTGTTCAGAAATAGCCCAACTGGCAAGTCACAGGAGTGGAACATGTCCATGTCAGCAAATTGTTAAGCAATTTCGCAGGTGGCTAAATACACCACCCCTGTCTCTCTTTGCCCAACTTCACCCACGCTATATAAGGGAGATTGATTTGCTGTGTGCTCTTGTTAGCACATGATATTTAGGTGAGAAAACAAAGCAACCAAGGTAATCATGAATTTTCTTTAAGCAGCAAATTTTCTTTCCACATACATTTCTGCTGTTTTAGGGCTATTTGACCATACTTTTCTCACAATTAATTCAGCCCACTGTTTATTCAATAACCCAGTTGTGCCCCGACATGTTTTATAACTAAATACCTGATGCAATCCAGCAAATATTTTCTCAACCAAAAGAGCTGCAGCCAATAGTTTGACTCAACCGGAGACAAATGAGAGAAGATTCGCGTTAACTAGCTGCTTCCCTAGAAATGCAAAGGCCCTGTCTGCTCCTTCATTCCTCTTTTCTGCAAGTCGATATTGCGCTTAAAGTGCTTATCTGCTGTTTGTGATAGGTAGTCGGCCTTGTTATCCAGAGCTAACCTCCGACGCTTCTTTTCGAAATCAGAAAGAAAACACTCCAAACAGAACGATAAGTTGCAAAGCGACGAACTAAAATGACCGGGATGTCGTTCAAAAGCGCGTGCTTGTGGAAGAAGAAAGGAAGGTCTGTGTGAACTAATAAGTTAGGCTGAAAAGTTAAATGGGACTCTTTTCCTGCCATTTTAGACCTGTTAAGCCTCGACGCTTTCAACAATCATTACAGCCAGGACACTGCAGCGCATCCAGGAAAAAAAAAGCAACAAGTAGAAATAGTAAAGTTGGTGCAATAAGACATTGACACACAAAAACAAAGTAGATAAGATAATCTTCCACCAGCTACTTTCTGAAGAAGAAATCATCTTTATCGGGGCGCTTCTACGAGTTGGTGGATAGAGGAAAGAGGGTGGCATTATTCCAACAAAACAAACGCACATTACCTCAAACTCAAGGCAGCCATGACATAGCTAACATCTCCATATTTTCCTACGATTCCCATGATTCACAGAGGCAAAATAACTCCCTTGGCTCTTCCGGGCAATTTTTTTTTAACCCTTTAACTGCAAACCATAAGCAGTTTACTGAAAAGCTATTAGTTTTCACGTGTGTGTGTGCAAAAATCAAAGTTCTTGAACACTGATATACTAATATATCTTTTTATGATCGAGAATTGGCTTAATAAATGCATTGGCCCACCAAGGTTTGGAAATTTCACTGGAGTTTTGTGTGGGTGTTGTTAATGTTTGTTTAATTTCAGTATTTATCCCATTCCAACCTTTTTCTTTTTTTAAAAAAATTTTTTTTATTGTTTTTTAACATACAAACAAACAGACAAAACATAAAAACATCAGCTCCCCCATATTTATATACAAACAGTGAGTCGGTTGGTTCATCAGTTTTGTGCACTCATCTCATAGTCACAATTACAATTACCTTGTATAATAACTCTTATTGTCAATACAAACTTATAAATCATAATATCACTATTAAAAAAAGAAGTTTGACTAGACTTTTGTTCGATCATGCCTTTGTGAGATAACTATATTTTAAGTAATTTATTCTAAAACAAATCATATAATCGTGCCAATTCTATCCTAAATAAGAGAGAAAAAAAAAAGAAACAGAAAACTATTATATAAATATAATATCCAGTACCAAAAAAGAGAAAAGAAAAATAAAATCAATATTATTCCTTATTATCTAACATTTCTATTTTTGTATTTCATCATTCAACCATTGATAGAAAAGATCCCAAACTATATAAAATTGTTTATCTTCTTGCTCTCTGATTTCAAAAGTCAATCTACTCATCTCAGCACATTCCAATATTTTCTTTATGACTTCTTCCTGCAATGGAATTTTCTCATTTTTCCAATTTTTTGCAAATACAATCCTAGCCGCAGTCAATACATTTACAATCAAATATTTCAGCTCTTTACTATAAACATCTGGTAAAATTCCCAGTAAAAAAAGCTCCGGTTTCAAGTCTATATGCTTCTTTGTCATTTTTTCCAACCACATGTGGATTTTAGTCCAATATTTTCTAGCGTCCTCACAAGTCCACCACATATGGTAATATGAACCAGGTTTCTGATGACATTTCCAGCATTTTTCGGATTTGTTCTTGAACATTCTTGCTATCCTCGTCGGGGAAAATGCCACCTGTAAAACATCTTATACAAGTTTTCTTTATAAGCTGTAGACATTGTCATTTTATAATTTTGCGACCATAGTTTCTGCCATTTCTCTAGATCAATCCCATATCCAAAATTCCTCCCCCAAGCAATCATAGTTTCTTTAACTTGTTCTTCCTCCAACTTAATTTCCAATAAGTAACCATATAATTTTTTAATCACCTTTTCATCAGTACCCATCAAAATCTTATCTAAATCAGTTTGTTTATCATAAAATCCCTCTGCTTTGGAATCCTCATAATACTTTGAATGTATTTGCAAATATGAAAACCAATTCATCTGTATACCTTGTTCCTCTAATTTTTGCATCGATTTAAGTTCACCCTTTTCATCTAGTAATTCCCCATAGCTAACTGTTTGTTCCTTTTTATAAATTATAGGGTAAGAAAACGCTTCTATCGTCGATAACCAAACTGGAATTTTCAAATAACATTGTTTTCTTGTCTTCTCCCAATTTAACCACAGAGACTCCCGTATATAATGTCTTCTAAAATACCCCTGTGTTTTGGTTCCCTTATACCATAAAAAAGCATGCCAACCCAACAACAAATCATGACCTTCTAATGTCAACAATCTAGTTTTCCTTAATGTTATCCATTCTTTAACCCACATCAAATTTGCAGCTTGATAGTACAACTCCCAATTAGGCAGGCCAAACCCTCCTCTAAATCTAGCATCCTGTAAAAGCTTTAACTTTATCCTTGCTTTCTTGCCTTGCCATATATACTTCAAAACAATTTTATTTAAATCCTCAAAATATTCTTTTCCAAGCCTAATTGGTATTGTTTGAAACAAAAATAAAATTCTGGGTAGAATGTTCATCTTAATTGTTGAAATCCTTCCTATTAATGGCAATTGTAGGTTTTCCCATTTTTTCAAGTCTTGGGCTATCTGTTGTTTAAGTTTAATATAATTGTTCTCCTTTAATGTACTACATCTTGACGTCAAGTATATCCTCAAATACTTAACCTTATTTGTAACTTGAATTTTTAACAATTCTGCCAGTTCTTCTCTTTGTCTCAGCAACATATTCTTTGACAAAATCTTTGTTTTATCTTTGTTTATTTTCAGACCGGCCACCTCCCCATATGCCTCTATCTTTTCCAACAGCTTCAAGGCTGTTTCTATAGGGTCTTCCAGGATAAAGACTAGGTCATCTGCAAAAGCTTGTAGTTTAAATTCTTCCTTTTTAATTTTCATTCCTTTTATAGTTTTATCTTCTCTGATATTTCTATTCAACACTTCCAAAGTCAATACAAATAACAAGGGAGAAAGAGGGCAACCTTGTCTTGTGCCTTTTCTTATATTAATAGGATCTGTGAGTTCTCCCTCCATCATTACCTTAGCTGTTTGTTCATTGTAAATTGCTTCTATTGCTTGAATAAATCTTCTAGCAAAGCCCATCTGTTCCATTAAAAGTAACATAAATCTCCAATTTACGTTATCAAATGCCTTTTGAGCATCTAAAAATATCAAAGCCATTTGCTTTTCAGGATACACCTCATAATATTCCAAGGTGTCCAGAATTACTCTCATATTGTCTCTAATTTGTCGCTTTGGCAAAAATCCATTTTGATCTGAGTGGATAAAGTTATTCAGATATTTTTTAAGTCTTTCTGCTAATATTGAAGCAAAAATTTTATAATCTGCATTTAATAAGGAAATCGGTCTATAATTCTTGATTTGAAGTAGGTCCGCCTCCTCTTTTGGAATAAGTGTAATATAAGCCTCTGACCATGTTTTAGGTATTATCTTTTTTAGCATAACTTCATTCATAACTTCTAACAGTGGAATACACAATGATTCTTGAAAGGTTTTATAAAATTCTACAGGAAACCCATCTGGACCTGGTGCCTTTCCATTATTTTGTTTCTTAAGTGCTTGGCTTAACTCCATCATTGTTATATTGCTTCCTAACATTTCTTCAATCTCTTTAGGTATCTTAGGTAAATGTGCATTCTGCAAGTATTGTTTAACTTTCTCCTCATCAATATCTTCTTTCTTATACAAATGTTTGTAAAAGTCATACCGTATTTCCTCATGTATAAGCCACCCCTTTTTTCCAAAATTTTCAAGCCCAAAAAGTAGGGGGGTGGCATATACAAAGCAGGTACACTTTTTATACGTGAAAAATGCATAAAATAATAAAGTAGGAATAAACTGGTTTTCCAGCAGTATGCTATACTTTTTTGTAAAAATTGTACGTGATGATACGATTATGAGTGCGAGTACGCGATAGAAATGCATACGCTAGGCATCGGCCTGAATGCTTCGTTCCTACTCTCGTTCCGATGCGTAGATTGCTAGCGTCGCCCGCACCGCTTTCGGCGTCATGACCGAAGTTGTAGATCTAGACGTCGAATTTTGTTTCTTTGTAAATTTTCTTTCTTCATAACTTGTTTCTCTAATAAAATATTTTTTTCAAAACTTCACAGTCCAAAAATTGGGGGGGTGGCTTATACAAAGGGGGTGCTTATACATGGGGAAATACGGTAAATAATTTCTTTTTTCTCTTTGCTGCCATGACAAGTTTTACCTTGGTCATCTATTAACTGCAATATTTTCCTCGACTCTTTCTCCTTTCTCAGCTTATATGCTAGCCATCTACCTGGCTTATTTGCATCTTCAAAATAATTCTGTTTAGCACTCCTAATTTTCTGTGCCAGTTCTTCTTTGTCTATTAAGTCCATTTTATGTTTAGTTATATCCAGTTTCAATTTAACGTCTTTTTTCTGTGGCATTTTCTGCAGTTCTTTTTCGAGTCTTTTATATTCATCCTCCAAGGCTTTGAAAGCTTGCCTTTTCCTAATATTCTTTTTTCTTGTATAGTCTATTATCAAGCCTCTGGCATAAGCCTTCATTGTATCCCAAACATTCTGTATTGAAGTGTCTTCTTTTCTATTTTCTTTAAAGAAAAAGGCCAGTTCTTTCTCCATCCATTGTGTAAATTCTTTCTCCTTTAAAATAGTATTATTTAACGTCCATCTCGATCTTTTTTTTTGTCCCTTCCATTTAATTGTCAATGGGTTATGATCCGCCCAAGTACTTGTTTCAATATTTACTTCTTGAACGCTAAATATTAAGTCTGTTGAGATCCAAATCATATCAAGTCTGGACCATGATAAATGTCTATTTGAATAGAAAGTATATTGCTTAAGTTTAACATTTCTTTCTCTCCATATGTCTTTTAGAGTTAATTCCTCTGTCATTTTAAAAAAAGATTTAGGAAGAGTTTTTCTATTATACTTTGCTGCTGTTGCAATATAATCAAGTTTATTATCCACAATTCCATTAAAGTCTCCCATCATAATTATATTAGCATAGTCCAGTCCAGCCATCTTGGTATGTAATTTTTTATAGAATTCTTCCTGTTTATCATTCGGGGCATAAATTGCAGTCAAAAGTATCTTTCTATTATTGTCCATTATTTCCACCATTAATATTCTCCCATCATCATCTGTATAAATCATTTTTGCTGGAATAACCTCTTTAATATATAAGACCACCCCTCTTTTCTTACATTGAGTCAAAGAGGTAAACAATTTCCCTAATTTTCCAAGTGTTGCCAACAGACTCAGGCATCCTGAACTTGATGTTTGGTTCGAGCTGCCAAGAATTTGATCTCCGAACTTGAGAGAAAGAGACACTTTTGTTCTGCAAAGAGGCATCTTTGGCCACCGGAAAATAGAAATCACCAAGTAAATTCAGGCAAAGCAAAAAGCATTTATTATGGGAACACTACATCTTTTTTATCAGAAACAGAAACAAATGATATATACATTTCTATACATAATATATCAGAAAAAAAGTGATCAAACAATAAAAATGGGTGAAGGCATTTAGCTGGGTGTCATCATCATCATCATCATCATCATCATCAATGTGAGACTTCAACAGTAGTGTATTGTAGTGTAGTGTGTGAAGTATACCCCAAAAGGACAGTGTCAGAAACCTCATAGCACCAGGAACCTCAGAAAACAGTGCCAAGAGATTCAAGCCAGCCCTTCCCCCTTTAAGAAAAGGGGGAAGCACCAAGAAGCACCAGCTGAAAGGAAAAACTCAGAGCAGCCCTGCTAATGGCTGTTACAAAAGTAACAGCTGACAACAGAAACATTTAAGTAGAACCATTAAGATAAGGGGAATAAGCTGGGGTGGGCTGCAAAATTTTTTACAACCAGTTATCTGCCCTAATGCCTGGCCGGGTGGATGTGGGTAGGCATGTGTGGGTGGGGTCATGTGACTGAGTGGGCATGGCCAACTCTATGTCACTAGTTTGGGTGGTACCTATATTGGACAGGCAGGGTTGGGTGAGGAATTCAGGTGTAAGAAATAAGAAAATTCAAAAATAAAATGTAGGTAAATATGTTAGAGATGCATATAATCATTATCTTGCTTTAAGATGGTTGGAGAAAAGATGTGCTGAAAGTACACTAATATTGTTTTATTTTTTATTTATTTTATTTGGTTGGTCAATTGCTAACAAGATAATAAGTATAAGTAAAAACATAGTTATGAATACATGGATACATATAAGAAAAATAAAAGAAACAATAGGACAGGGACGGTAGGCACTTTGGTGTGCTTATGCACGCCACCTACAGACCTCTTAGGAAAGGGGTGAGGTCAATAGTGGAAAGTCTAAGGTTAAAGTTTTGGGGGTTTGGGGAAGAAACCAAGAGTCAGGTAGAGTATTCCAGACATTGACCACTCTGTTGCTGAAGTCATATTTCCTGCAATCAAGTTTGGTGCGATTAACCTTGAGTTTGTATCTATTGTTTGCTCTTGTGTTGTTATGGTTGAAGATGAAGTTGTCAGTCTGTGCTCCATTCAAAATCCAAGAAAGAAATACTTAGACTCCATAGATTAGAGGGAAGATATCTTTTACTGGAATTCGAAGTGGAAGCTACAGGTAGAATTCTGAATCTGAGAAATTAGGCGCGCAGATCACATATACAAAGTGATGGAATTGTTCCCACCCCCCAAAGTTCAAAAGATTCTTCCAATTAAAAGTTCTGAATATGATCATGTGGGCATCTTCAGGTGGTGATGAGGCCTCTGTCCGTTGACCTTGACATATTTTGATAAAGATTCACAGCTGCGCAAAGGAAAGAAAGCTAAGCAAGGAAATAGAAACTTAAGAGCAGGAATTTATACTCCCCCCCACTCCTCATTTTTTCAACCCAAGAATGTAACACCTCCAGCTCTCTTCTCAGACACAACCCCTCCCCACATTACTCATGGCAGCCGAAAGATGCAAAGCAGTAGAAAAGATCTTGGAGGCTGACATTTGGCCTTCCTAGAAAAAAGACGTTAGTCCTGTAAGAGAGAACAACATAAAAACATTGGTTAACAATCATATACATTTCTAGGGTTTATCAGGATACTTTGTGTGAAGTCTTTGATCAGCTTAGGGGCTCTAACATCCTTCTCATTGACCCATTCAGCTTGGGAAGATGGGAAATGTCTCCAAGCTACGAGATATTGGAGGCGACCCCTCCACTTATGAGAGTCCAAAATCTCTTTAACTTCAAAATGTTGTTCACCCTCAATCAACAATGGTATAGGAGGATCAGTCTGGGTTGGTCTCAAGACAGAAGTGTGTTCAGGTTTCAACAAACTAACATGGAAAACTGGGTGAATTTGTCAAAGAGTTTTTGGTACTGTCAATTGGACTGTCACAGGATTCACAATTTGTTCAACTGTGAAAGGACCTACATACTTAGGGCCACATTTCTTCGACTTTTGAGTGGTTTGTAAGTAACTGGTGGACAGGAAAACTTTGTCTCCCACTTGATAGGACTTCTGTGGGGCTCTCTTTTTATCTGCAAATTTCTTATAGGACTGATGGGCGTCATCTAATGCTTTGCGAGCAACTGGCCAGTTAAGCTGGAGTTGAGATATCCATTCGTCTAGCGACTGGATGTTAGGCTTTTCATGAGGAAGCTCAGGTATGGGCACAAAGTCTTGTCCCGATGCCACTTTAAAGGGGGTGAACCCAGTACTACTATGAACAGAATTGTTGTATGCCACCTCAGGAAACGGCAATAAGTCAGCCCAATTATCCTGTTGATAATTTATGTAACATCTGAGGTATTGTTCTAGCACAGCGTTAGTCCTCTCACAGGCCCCATTGGTTTGGGGATGGTGGGCGGAGCTTAAGCCCTGGGCGGAGCCTATCAACTTCAAGAACTCCTTCCAAAAGTTTAAGGTGAATTGGACCCCTCGGTCAGAAATTATACGTTCAGGGACACCATGCAGTCTATAAATGTGCAGTATGAACAGTTTAGCCAACGATTTTGCAGAAGGAAACTTAAAGCAAGGTATGAAATGCGCTTGTTTGGAAAACAAATAGGTTACTACCCAAATAACCGTGTTTCTGGCACTCTCGGGTAGCTCTACTATAAAGTCCATAGAGATTTCCTTCCAGGGAGCTGTTGGCCTGGCCACATTTTGTAACAGACCTGCTGGCTTGCCAGGGGTCCTTTTTGCTGAAGCGCAGACTGAGCAGCTAGCCACATAAGTCTCAATGTCCCTTTTCAATGAAGGCCACCAAAATTGTCACTTAACGAGGTGTAAGGTTTTTACAAAACCAAAATGGCCAGCCGCTTTGGAATCATGGGCCTGTTGCAATACTTGGTTTCTCAATGACTCTGGCACATACAGTTTCACTCCCATCCAGGCCAAGCCATCTCTAACTGTACAGTTATTCGAATTTGCCAGGAACCACTCATCCAGTTTCAGGGCTTCCTTTAATTGTGCTGTCAAATCACTCGACAAATCTGCTTCTTGCTTCTTCTTTTGCACTCTAGTGACCACCAGGGTGGCCAGCTGTTTGGTAGAAAAATCGGCCGTATCACTTCCTGACGAACACTGTTGTACTGAGGCAGTCTAGATAAAGCATCCACCATAAAATTCCCCCCCCCCGGAATGTACTTTAATGAGAAATTGAAATGTTTAAAATACTGGGTCCACCGAACTTGCTTAGGAGACAGTTTCCGAGGCGTTTTTAGGGCCTCCAAGTTCTTATGGTCACCTTGAACGGGTGTTTCGCTCCTTCCAAGAAATGTCCCCATGTCAGTAGGGCCTAGCAAACTGCAAAAGCTTCCTTTTCCCAGACAGCCCATCTTCTTTCAGTTTCAGTCAGTTTACGGGAGGTGTAGGCGCAGGGTTGCAGGGTTCCCTTTTCATTGATTTGAAGTAAGACCGGCCCAACTGCCACATCACTCGCATCGGCTTGTATCACGAACGGGGCATCCATGTCCGGGTGCTTTAGCACTGGTTCTGCAGTGAACAGTCACTTCAGCTTTTCAAAGGCTGCTTGGCACTCCATGGACCACACCAGCAGTTTGCTGGGCTTTGGTTTCGCCTCCCCTTTGGTTTCCAAGAGATAGGTGATAGGCATTGCTATCTTAGCAAAGGACGGGATGAATTGTTGGTAGAAGTTGGCAAATCCTAAAAAGCTTTGAAGTTGTTTTTGGGTGCGCGGGGGGGGCATTCCAACACCGCCTGCACCTTCCCTGGATCCATTTCGATACCCTCGTGTGGAATGCAATACCCCAAATAGTCAATTTTCTCTTGATGGAATTCACATTTGGACAGTTTAGCATACAATTTAGCGGCTTGCAGTTTCTGTAGTACTGAACGCACCAGTCTCACATGTTCATCCTGAGTCTCTGTGTAAATAAGGATGTCATCAAGGTAAACCAAAAGCCCCTTGTATAAATGTTCATGTAGCACTTGATTGATCATTTGCATGAATACGGCTGGGGCCCCCTGTAGGCCAAAAGGAAGAACATTGAACTGGAAACAACCCATTGTGTTCCTTAATGGGTCACCCTTTCTACTTTAGGTTTTGAAGCTCATCCTCCATGCACTGATCCTCCTCCACCTCATTAAATTTGGCTTCTAACTCTTGCAGGAAGTCGTTGACATCTTGCAGCTTGGGGGCTCTCCTCTAATGGAGGGCTGCTAGCCATTCCTTTGCTTCTCCCTCTAGTCCCCTGGCAATGGTATTCACCATGGCTCTGTGCGATGGGTAGAGATGGCTATAGCACTCTAGGTGGACCCTAGCAGAGACAAGGAATAGAGCCAGTTGATCTAAGTCTCCATTGAATTTCCCCCGAATCAGGACAGTTCACTCATCACTGCTTCTCCCTCATCATGTTGTTCCCTGTTCCCTGCAGGCGCACTTGATGTGTTTGGCGATCTCTCTCGGCTCTAGTTCATGGGGGGATACTCACCTTGGGCAAATTGCCTCTTGCACAGAGGAGCCACCAGCAGCAGCCTTGGATTCATTCTCCTTCTAGTGGGTTGAGAAGGGGGGCTGCATTCCCATCTGCTTCAGCTCACTTCAAAGGGCTCAGTTGCAACCACCTCTCTTTTGGGGGGCATAATGCCCCCTTATCATGAAAGGTGGCTTGGTCAAATTTCTCCCTCAACTGCTCTAAAGATCCCTCCAAGGGTTTTATCAGAGTTTTTGAGAGTCTGGCCTGTATCCAATCCCTCATCCATTCCAATCTTCCTAACTCACTCAGGGGTTTTCCCCAGCTCTGGGTTGGGGGAGCTCAATCTCAGCTGCTTTAGGGACTTTTTTTCACCAATACTCATCCCTTTTCATTTGGGTTGCTGAGATGGGCATCTTGGCTGTCTTGGCTTTGCTGTCCAGGGAGGGCTGCAATTTGGTTCTGATTGGGCTGCTGGTTCCTGGAGTTCTCTGGGTGGGGGCAAGTTCTACCCTGCACTGGGTTGCCTGGAGCAGGCTATCTTAGGATAGTCCATCCTTTGCCATGGGAGCCTGAGTTTCTCTCCATGCACCCCCCCTCTATTCCCCGAATGGAGAGTCCGGAGCTCAGGAATCCCTATCATTTTTATTAGTTTTGAGACTTGGCTTGCTGTCAGGATTCTGACCGATACTCTAATTAAATCATGAGCCGCAGGCCAAGCTTCAAAAAACATCTAGTTATCTATTAGGAGTTTCATGTCAGCACTTTGACTTCACTTAATTCATACCTTGGTTCTAACCCTGTTTCCCCCTTCCCCCAACGTATGTCATCAGTCACATTCCCCAATGAAGCAATTTCACGGGTTGTAGAAGTCACTCCTTCTGGCCACTGTGGATCTCCATGGAGATGACCTTGAGGTTGCTGGCAGGAATGTGCTTTGTTTTGACTGAAATGCAAGTTCTGCAATGCAACTGCAAGGCTCGATTCCCCATCCCTCTGCCTATGGCAACTTGAGAGCAGGTCAGGAATGCTTCACAAGTTGACAAACTCAAGTATAAAGGGGTATTAAAACCTAATAGGCCCAGTTTGTTCACCAAAGGAATGTAAGGAATTATTGTTTTGAATGCCAAACTAAAATCAACAACCAGCATTCGCATATGAGTATTCTTTTTCTCCTGTTGCACCAAACTAAAATCACAGGAAAGTGCATCATCTATAGAGCAGTTCTTCCAATAGGCAAACTATAATGAGTCAAATATAGGGGAAAGCATGAAACTATATAGTCCTTTGCCAATCTGTCAAAATACTTCATCATAATGGTAGTGGGTGAGAAAAAGAAATGATACAGAGAACTATACAAAGAAGAACAAGTGGAGACAAAAGATAGAAGAATACTTAAAGAAAATGGAATTACCCAAAGTGCTTGGAGAAACTAAAATGATGTTGGAAGGGAAAATTACAATGATGGGATTAATAGAAGCAATCCAAAGACAAAACAATGGAAAAGCACCAGGACCAGATAGCCACCAGAAATGTATAAAGCATTACAGGATACTATATGTGACGTGTTATTAGAAGTTGTAAATGAAATTTTGATTAAAGCTAAAATACCTAACTCATAGATGGAAGCATATATTACCCTCATACCAAAAGAGGATACTCATATACAACAAGTGAAGAACTATAGTCCAATATCATTGTTAAACTCGAATTATAAGATATTTGCATCAATAATGGCTGAAAGATTGAAGAGATACCTAAATTACTTTATACACACAGATCAAAATGAATTCTTACCTAAGAGACAAATAAGAAACAATATGAGAATAATTTTAAATACGTTGGAATATTATGAAGCACATCCTGAGAAGCAGAGGGCACTGGTATTTTTGGATGCACAAAAGGCATTTGACATTGTGAATTGGCAATTTATGCTGATACAAATGAAGAAAATGGAATTTGGGGACAGATTTATAAACATGATTAAGACTATATATTATAAACAATATGCAAAGGTATTGATTAATGGAGAGTTGATTGCAAAAATACACATTGAGAAAGGAAAAAGACAGAGATGTCCTTTGTCACCATTGTTGTTTATATTAACTTTAGAAGTGCTAAATAGAGCTGTTAGGGAGGATAAAGAGATAAAAGGGATGGAAATAAGGAAAGAGGTGTACAAATTACAAGCATTTTCAAATGAGTTAGTTTTTATATTAGAAGAACCTCTAGGAAGAGGACCTAAGTTGATAAATAGATTAGAGGACTATGGGGAAATGGCTGCATTAAAAGTAAACAAAGGGAAAACAAACATATTGGTGAAAAATAAGACAGAGAAACAGAAAAAAGAATTGACAAAGGGTACAGACATTCAGATTGTTTAAAAAAGTTAAATATTTAGGAATACAATTGACAGCGAAATGTGGAATAATTAAAGAAGATAATTATTATAAATTGAAACAGCAGATAAAAACAGAGTTAGAAAAATGGGACAATATGCAACTTTCATTAACAGGAAGAATGGCAGTGATTAAAATGAATATATTGCCTAAAATACTACATCTGATTCAAACAATTCCAATAAAGTTAGAAAAAGATATTAATAAAATACTGTTGAAATATATATGGCAAGGAAAGAAACCACAGATTAACATGAAAATGTTACAGGATGTGTCACATCCGTGTATCTGTCATTTCTTCAGTGGAAGAAGAAAAGGGGGGCGGAGTCTGATAAAGAAATCTTTTCTTGATGTAACCTGAATATATTTAATCTTATATCGAATTTGTATAACCCACACATGATACAATGGAGGGAAAAAAGCCAGATGGCAGGAACCTATCACCTCTGAGAGGCACAGCCAGGAGATGAGAAGATCATAAAAATTCCACAGTGAGATGTGTCCTGGGAATCTCTGGAAAAGTTCATTCTAAAAAGGGGGTGGAGGGAAATTAGGTATGCCCTGGGAAACTGTGAAAAAGATTTTTCTACAGAAGGGGTGGAGGTGGAATTAACATACTGGCTTTTGTTTCACCGAATACACATTGAGATAAGGGGAGGGGTTTCTAAACTCCCTTATCTATCCCTGTATGCCTGAGGGACCTCAGACGCTGCTTTGAACTCCTTCATGAATTGTCTCATCTCAGTAAAGGATTCCTTTTGATACATTTGGTGTTCAGAAGTTCTTTCTTGTTAATTGAATGGGAAAAAGTTCTGTAGCCTGACAGGATGCTAGAACCAGAGGAGGATTTTGCTTACCTAACTGGGAGATCTACTCTCAGATCACAGCCTTAACATGGACGAAAGAATGGATACTGTTGCGGAATAAAAAAAATTACTAACGTTGGAAGGGCATGATTTACAAATGGGGTATCATGCATTTTTATGGTATAGAAAAGGGAAAACACATAGGTATTTTCAAAGACATGTCATCAGGGATACATTGTTACATATATGGGGGAAAACTAGGGAGCAACACTATATGAAGATACCACAATGGAAGCACTTGTATATCCACAATTGAAGCACTTGTATATCAAAATGTTTGTAAAATGGGAAGTGTTAGTAGATACAAAGATATTTTAAATGAAATGGGTGGGCCAAAACAAAATGAGAAATAAATGAACAAGGATTAGATATAGAATGGTATTGTGACTGGAAGGTTTGAGCCAGCTGTGAGTTTTGAGTCTGGTGTATCAGAAGACACAGGTTTGAGTGAAGAGGAAGGTTTGGCATTGGAATTGGAGCCTGCTCTAATGAGAGATGCAGACGTGAGCCAGGAGGATGAGGGAGTGTCGGAAACACCATCTTCTCCTGAACCTTCCACATCAATCGTGCCTCAGGTGTCAGCAGCTGATCCACAGAACTTATCAGAGTCCTTGAGTGATGACGAATGTTGGGTTGATGCAAGGACTAGACGCAGGTTGAGACGTCAAGCACAATTTGAAAAGAAACGACAAGTCAGAGACTAATTAGAGAGACTGACACGCCCCTTCAAGAAATATAAGGAGGCGTGTTAGTTAACGGCCCTTGTCCGGATCAACTTGTTAATTACCTCACAGCGTGGAAGAAGCTTCCTGCCCTCTTGGCTCTGAATCATCCAGTGACTCATTATCTTGATGCAAAGACAGTTTCTGGGAGAGCTGCCAATGACGTTTACAGAGAGGAATTAACTCTGTGGTGTCTGAAATTCATTTTTTTGTGTTTGTTGCTCTGGGACATTTGGACTCTCATTTGTAGTTACAGGTGAGACATAACAGAATGGTATTTATATATGCAGATACAACCAAGGTATGAAAAAGACTTAAAGATGAAGGAATTAATAAAGAATTGACAGAATTTGATAAAATACTAACAGGAACAGAGGATAAACTGATTAAAAGATTACATTGTTATTTATTAGGTGCAAGCTGGAAGAAGAACAAATTAAAGAAACGATAGTATGGGCAATATTTTTTGGATATTCTATAGAATTGGATAAATGACAGAAATTATGAGATAGGAATTATAAATTGACAATATCGACAGCATATAAAGAGAATTTGCATAAGATGTTTTACAAATGGCACTTAGTGCCAGCAAAATTAGCGAATATGTTTAAAGATAAATCAATTAAATGTTGGAAATGCCATCAAATACCAGGAACATATTACTATATGTGATGGACTTGTACAGAAGCTAAAAGGTACTGAACTAAAATACACACATGGTTGAAAAAAATGATTAAACAACATATAGATTTGAAGCGTGAAATATTCCTATTAGGAATGGTACCAGAAGGTTACAGTAAAGAAAAGACTTACTTAATTATACATGTTTTAACAGTGGCTAGAATTTTATTTGCTCAAAACTGGAAGAATGATAAGATAGAGGGAAAAATAATTGAAAACTACTTGAATGTGCAGAAATGAATAGACTGACACTAGAAATTAAAGAAAAAGAAGAATCTGAATATTATATGGTATGGGATCTATTTTATCAATGTATAGAAAATAGAACAAATTAAAAGGGATTGGATGTATCTGTAGAGTAATGAGAGAAATTAATGTAATAGATTTCATTTATATTATTTATATGGGAATGTGATTGTTATAGGTGATAATTTGGTTATTACACCTGAGAATATAAAGAGCCGAACTGAAGCCATTTTGTGTTCGCAGTCTGAACTTTTAAAGTTCAGAACATTTATGTAATGTGTTTGCTGCTAGAAATTATACAAGATTTCAAAACTATGTATTTGGCATAAGTTAGATGTATGTGTTGGGACGCTCTGACATTAGACGTCACATTAAGAGATATTAATGGTTTTCTTATAATCTTCTGGAATTTGAATAACAGGAAATCTGACTACAATGAAAATATTGGGAGTTTTCCATGGAAGGTTAGAACTTTCTTATGAAAACGTTGTATAACTTCCATATATGGAAAACAGGAAGTGTTATGTAACCATGTGATTCGATAAACCTATATAAGCTGTATTCACTAAATGGAAAGGTCTCCTTCCTCCTAGAAAATGGTTTTTTTCTGGAGTAAAGGGGTCCATACTGCTGTATTTTCCCTAACAAAGCATCCTATGGATCAGATTATCAAAAATCTGTTGATTCATTTTTATGTACTTCTCACAATTTTGGCGAGCTGCCAGGAGATAGATGGTTTTTTCTTCCTTTGGATGGGTGGTTTTTCAGGACTGTAATGGTGCCTCTCCACTGGGTTTGTGGAGGCAGTTGCTGGATCTTCCACCCAAGGGAGGGAAAATCACTCTTAAACCTATGTTTGACTGACTGATAATCTGTGATTGTAGGAGTTTGGAATGGCCAAAGTTTGGTGCACCGGGGCTCAGGTGAGCTAAATCTAATTAGTAACTTTTAAAACTTTTAAAATTGTGTTGCAACATTTCCTATATTGTTTTGGGATTGTTTAGAGGGATAGTGGTTGTCTGAGAATGATTTCTGGTTGACGTGTGTGTGTGAGTTTACACTGTTTTTTCTTTTCTCTTTTCTCCCTATCATATTTTGCGTTAAGGGGGATTAGACTTTTTTTTGTTTCATAAGAACAAGATGTTTGTAAAGTTCCAGAGTTCTCTCCTTTTGGAGAGTTGGTTCAGCTTTTGGCTGCTGGTATTTAAATATCAACCCCTTGATGAATGACACAGATTGTACTTTCTATGGCTGGAATAGCTGAATTATGTTTGAAACTGTCCAAATTTGGAGAGTGTAATGAAATGTGTATTGGTTTGATGCCTTAAAAGCTGTGTTAAACAGTTAACTGTTAACTCTTTGTATTGTCTCTTTTAATGCTGTGTTGAAGAGTTAAAGAGGTTAGATGCCCAGGTGATTTATGTTGATCTGTGACATGTGGAAGAATCTTTCCCCTCTTAGTAAGAGATTTTATTAGGGAGTGGGAGCCTCTAGCATATGCTAGCTGTTTATGCTCATCTCCCCTATAATTTGTTCCAGCTGTTTCAGATGTAGCTGAGGGGGAGAATTAAGGGGGGCTGTTTCACAGTGTGGTGAGTTGAAACATGAGCTAGTTTTATAAGAGAGTTGAAAGATTTTATGTTTGGAATAGTTATAAAATTTAAGACAAAGAAAATTTATTTGTTGTGACTATTTTACCTTGGCTCTGTCTTGTATTTTTCCACAAGAAG